CCCCCCCGGTCATTTCTTGACCGTCTTGTGAGCTGCTGTTGGGAGAACCCCGGTTACGTAAAGTGGCCTGTTGGGTGATCTTTGTGTGCGCTGTTCCCTTGGCGCCGCACCTGCTTGCCAGGTTTCTAGCACCGCTCTGAGGGCCGGGTTGACCTTTTCCCGTTCCTTTCCCGTCTCGCGCGTTCTCTGGTCTCCGCTTCCCAGTGGCTTAGCGCCCTGCCCAGCGGCTCCTCGGTAGGGAGTGGGCGGGTCGCCGTGTGCGGGCTTGGACGCGTGGGCGCGAGGTGAGGCCGAACCGCTCCTGGCAGGTGTGAGGGCTTCTGGGAGCAGGGGCACACTAGGGGTGCAAGGAGCCAGGGAGGGCGAGGCCTGGAAGGGGAGGTGGGCGCCCAAGGGGTGCATTGCCTTTTGGACGCGCAGAGCGGATTCTTGTGCTGTGGTTTCCCGTGCACTCGCCTGCTTGCGACGCGGCCTCGCCTGCGCTCGGAGCTTGTCTGTGTTTGCAGCCCGAGCCCCACCTGGGGGGGTGGGCGTGGGGGTAGGCAGGGTCCCCCCTTCGGGACTTGGGCTGGCTCCCGACTGGGCAGCGTCTCTCCCCCGCTCTGCTCTGCTGGACTGTAGCCCCCAGACGTCGCCGGTAGTTATCCCGCACTTAGCGCCAGCAGCCTCGCCCTTTGAAATTCTGCCTGCTTTTCCCTCTGCCTTCACTATCCTCGCCACATGTTCTTGAAAAAAATGTCTGACAGAATGCGTTGGAGAAAGTGCATTTAGTCAAACCTCAAAGAGAAAAGTTGGAGTATGGGGCTCTTCTGAATAATTTGGGGTTCGGTACAAGTGGAGAGGCTGGAGCCTGCTGGGAGAGAACAGGTTGGAAGTGTGAGGTGCAGGGGACGGTAGGGAGAGCAGTCAGCGTGACACTGCTGAAAGTGAGGTGTAAAGAGCAGGGTTTGAGTCGAGGTGTGGGGAGAGTTGGAGCGAGGAGAGGCTGTGGGTGTGTAACGCGTTGAATGGAGACAGGAGCTAAGGAGCGTTGGTGAGGATGCAGGTCACGGGCCTCCGTTGGGCAGGAAACTGAGGACGTGTGGGCACAGTCCTGTCAGTGGAAGCAAGGAGATGGTTGCTTACTCTGGTGGCTCCAGGGTTGCTGAGTTTGTGGTGCTTGTGCTGGCCTGGGCCTGGTGAGGGGCTGCGCGGGACACTTGGTGGTTTGCCTTGACCATTCAGCCCACCTGCCTGGACAGTCAGGGGCTATTAAGTCTGTGTGTGCCCTTCACAGTCACCTGAAATTCTTAGGTCGGTTCTTGAAAGAACTTTGGACTTGGGCTGCAGGACACAGGCGCCACAGGTCTGTCTCGTGTACCCGTTTGGCACCTCAGTTATTCTCAGCGGTCAGGGACTTGGCAGCGGTTGAGGAAGAGACCGCTGCACTGTGTGCTGGGCTGCAGGAGAGCACAGGGACAGTGAGGAGTTGAGAGTCGCAGGTTCTTTGGCGTAGGGTGGGAAGAAAGTCCAAGGAGAAGCCAGGCGAGTTCTCACGCTGAGGGGAGACAGCAGAGCCGGGCTCGCCGGCTCACTGGAAAGTGGTTCTTCCCGGCAGAGCCCGAGCCTGGGGCATTCTGTAGCTAGCGGAGGTGCTGCTGGGCAGGACGAAGGAGAGCAGGGGTTTGCGGGCGGCGAGTGTTAGTCTGGGGCCAGGGGCCTGACCCGTGTCTCCCCGCTCCCCCTCAGGAGCGGTGGTGCCCCCGGGCACGGGGCCATGTACAACGGGATCGGGCTGCCGACGCCCCGGGGCAGCGGCACCAACGGCTACGTCCAGCGCAACTTGTCCCTGGTGCGGGGCCGCCGGGGCGAGCGGCCTGACTACAAGGGAGAGGAGGAACTGCGGCGCCTGGAGGCTGCCCTGGTGAAGCGGCCTAACCCTGACATCCTGGACCACGAGCGCAAGCGGCGCGTGGAGCTGAGATGCCTCGAGCTGGAGGAGATGATGGAAGAGCAGGGGTGAGGGGAGGGCTGGGCGTGAGCCAGCACCGAGGGAGTGCAGAGGTGGGCTCCAGGGCGCCTAGGGCTCTGGAAAGGTCGAAGGACTTGGAGGAGGGGAGCGGCAGAGGCAGAGGAGCTAGCAGCCAGGCTCAGGGACAGTTCCGAGCCAGGGGAGGAAGCTGCCTTCGGGAGTGAGGGCAGCGAGGGAGGCGAGCGGCAGCCGGAGGCACGTGGGGCGGGGAGGGGGTGGAGAAACATGAAGGTGCTCTGAGGGGGGAGGCAGGCCAGACGGGTGCCAGCTGACAGTGATGGCATTGGTAGAGGAGAGGAAAGCAGATGGATCGAGGCCTCGGAGGAGCAGGACACAGGAGTGAGGAGAGTGCCTGGACGAGCGGGTGCGTTGGGTAGGGTGTAGGGTGAGGTGTTGGCAAAGGACCACCTCGAGGCAGGCAGTCTTACGAGAGCAGTGGTCTTCAGACGTCAGTGGTGGTAGCTCTTCTCTACACTGTACTTTGGAGGTGCGAAGATGACGTAACTCTTGTTGCAGCCGGGGAGAGCACCTGGAACTCTGCCTGCTTAACTTTCCTCTCTCGGCCCCGGAGTGGAGCCTGTCTAAAACCCACTGTTCTTACGGGGAGTAGTTAAGTGGAGGAGAGAGTGCAGGGAAAGAGCAGAAGGGTTTAAGAGACGGGGCCTCTGGGTGACAGTGAGTGAGCAGTTCTGTGTGCGCGGGGTTGGGGGGGCACCCTGCGGGGAATGTGGGGCTGCACCCCTGGGGCTGGGAGACACGCATAGCCAAGCTCTAACCATGTAGGGTTTGTTCTTTAGGTACGAGGAACAGCAAATTCAGGAAAAAGTGGCGACCTTCCGACTCATGTTGCTGGAAAAGGATGTGAACCCTGGGGGCAAGGAGGAGACCCCCGGGCAGAGGCCAGCGTGAGTGTCTCCCCACCCGGTTTCCTTGGGCTTTCTGCTGTTCTCCCCTGGCCTTGGGCTCCCTCCTGCTCTCGTCTCTTCTTTCTCCACGTCTGCTTGGCTCCTCTTGGATTTTATGAATGTTGTGCTGCTCTCGTTCAGTCTCTGCCCCTTTTCCCTCTAGGGTAACTGAGACTCACCAGTTGGCAGAACTGAATGAGAAGAAGAATGAGCGCCTGCGCGCAGCCTTTGGCATCAGCGATTCCTACGTGGACGGCAGCTCTTTTGATCCTCAGCGCCGTGCTCGAGAAGCCAAGCAGCCAGCCGCTGAGCCTCCCAAACCTTACAGGTACACGAGCCCAGGGGATCCATGTCCGCTTCTGTCTGGTCCCAGGCACTCCGTTCTTGTGCGTTGGGTAACTTCTTCTCAGGCTGTAGGCTGTTCTCCTGAAGCTGGTGTGTCTTGGGAATCGGCTCTAGCCCCTCTCTCTCTCGGTTTTCTTCAGCCTTGTCCGGGAGTCCAGCAGTTCTCGATCACCGACCCCAAAACAAAAGAAGAAGAAGAAGAAGAAAGATAGAGGACGGTAAATTGGAAAGTTATTCTAGCAGCCAGAGGCCAGTCCTGTCATGTTCTGTCAGAATTGTGGCTACTAGGAGGAGGGAGTGTTACCAGAGAAGTGAGGGAAGACGGGGTCGTCCTTCCGGTGTTGGCTGGGAGGAGGCCCGAGTACTGCTCAGTGGGCAGGGCGTGAATCTGTGATGAATGGGGTCCAGCAGGAAGCAGACTTTGGATTTCTGGGGCCACTTTTTCATGTTGCGATTGAGGGAGACAGAGACGAGGTCCCGGACTAGTCTGGGACGTCGCGCTGTTGTAGCTGCTTAGTGTTGGGGCAGCCTCTGGAGAGTGGCTTTAAGGAGTAGGGAGAAGGAAGGAGCACAGAATGACTTGTTTCTGCGCACCTGTAGCCGGTCAGAGAGCAGTTCCCCTCGCCGAGAGAGGAAGAAGAGCTCCAAAAAGAAAAAGCACAGGTATGAAGGGGCAGGCGGCGGGCGAGGGGCTTGGTGCCTTCAGGTGTCGGTGTTCGTTTACATTTTCCTGCTTCCCAACAGGTCAGAATCGGAATCCAAGAAACGAAAGCATAGGTGAGCGGCGCTCCGTGGGTCACGTGGGTCGTTGTAGCATGCGGAGGGACGAGCCATTACTTGGTGGCCCAGCTTGCTCTTTGGGAGGGATTCTTTTTTTTTTTTTTTTCGTAATAAGTGATTTCTTCATGTGTTTTTTTTTTCCCTTTCTACTTCTAGTGTTAGTTCTTTAAAAAAAAAAAAAAAAAGATTATTGTCTTTAACAGTCTTACTTATTTTTTAGGTCTCCCACTCCAAAGAGCAAACGTAAATCTAAGGACAAGAAGCGGAAGCGGTGAGTAATTTAATGTGAATGGGAGGGGGGCTTGCTTAGCCAGTAAATGAGGAGAATCTCCTCGGGCAATGTGGGAGAGCTGCATCCCTGATTGCCGGAGGCTTGAAGGGCCCCCAGTGCAGGTCGGCGGCGCCCTGACTGGGGGTATGTCCCTGCAGGTCTAGAAGTACAACACCAGCCCCCAAGAGTCGCCGGGCCCACCGGTCAACTTCTGCCGATTCTGCTTCTTCTTCTGATACTTCCCGCAGTCGGTAAGGGGTGGTCCAGGAGGAAGGGAGGGAATGGGACTTGTGGGTTAATCGATTTAATATTTATTGAGCGCCCACGGTGTGCTAGGCGCTGCACAGACCATTCGGAAGACACGGTCCCTGCCCTCTAGGAGCTGACAGGCTAAAGCAACAGGATGGACAGACATATACATTTCCCCTTCTCTTTTTTTTTTTTTTATTTTGTTATTTTTGTTTGTTCTGATGTATATGGACTGCCAGAATAGGGGGGGGGGTGGTTTGTTCGTGGTGTCTGGGGGAGGAAGGAATCCTTACCCTGGCTTCCTTAATCGGGGAAGGCTTCCTGAAGGAGGTGGGCTCAGAGGTGAGTTGTGAATGAAGCAGGTAGGGAATGGGCTGGGTGGAGGGCTTGGGGAGGTTGGGGGGGGTGATAAAAGGGTAGAGGGAGAGCACTTTTTGGGGATTGGTGGGAAAAGAAAGGACCAAACTGAACCTGACTTGAATTTCAAAATGAGTGAGTGGAGTTTTGTGAAGTAGACAAGGTTTTTTGGAAGAGGGGTGTGCAGTCAGGAAAGGTGGATGGGAGTTGGGGAGGGGCTTTGTCTAATCTCCCGGACTGATTTCCTTCTTGTGCACCTTCCTCAATTACTTTTCTCAGGTCTCGAAGTGCTGCAGCTAAAACCCATGCAACAGCCTTGACTGGGCGAAGTCCTTCCCCTCCCTCAGAGTGTCGTGGGGAGGGAGATGCACCTGCCAAGGAACCAGGCACCATCAACACAGGGCAGCCTAGCAGCCCAGAGCCCTCTACAAAGCGGCCTGGCAGCCCGTGTGAAGACAAAGACAAGAAGGAGGTACGTTGCTGAGTCAGTGACGCTGGGTTGTCAGGCTGTGGATTTAGGGCAAGTATCGGAATCGCAGAGACATACGTGCTTATTAAGAGGGGAGGATTCAGTTTTCTGTATTCCTTTCACAGTTATCTCGTCTTGCCCTGCACCTGTAAATTCTGTAGAATTGCGGTCTTCAAACTTTATTGAGTATTCATAGGTTTTATGTCACTATTCTGGATGTAGATGAAGCTAGAACAAAGATCTCTTCGCAGTCGACTCTACTAAGATCCCTGTAATTTGTTTCATGAAATATTGGTTATGGTTTTTTACAATTTCTCAGCCCAATTGGTTGCTGCCTGCAGTGTGAAAACACCATTCTGAAATGTGTTTTTAGGAATCTTTGTTCGTGTTTATTTTATTCAAGCCCTAATCACTTTTGCTTCCACCATTAGCAAATAGTGATTTTGTAAAATGTGTTTGGTGCTTTATTAAAGTTCTGGCTCTCCTGTTCATTTTCCATGTAATGCGGTTATTTCCCAAACCATGGCTTGGATCCCTTTGGAAACTTAATCTATTTCCTGTTCTTGACATACATTTAAACCTTTTTAACGACGTCGTTCCTCTACATACTTCTTGTGTATTATCCTAACATTTATTCTCACAATCGTCAGGTCTTTTTGCCTTTGTTTTTTCTATAAATTTTAGTTAATTTTCAGGGGTAAAGTCCACTTTGGGGAATTGATTTCCTTCCATTTACAAGTGCCTTTTTTCCCTGTTCCTCAGTCTTTTGTAATGGGTGCTTGTCATTGTTTTGTTTCTTTTTTTAAAGCTAGATTATAAGATTTCCAGTTTCTTAGGTCATAGAAGGAAGGTCTTTAGCATTATGTGACCCGTTATTTTTGATATTATAGGATTTCTTGTTAACTAGTTGACTGCTTATGGTAAAGAAAAGGACCAGTTGTTGTAACGGGGTATATAGAGGAAAACATTCATGAGAAAGGGTGTTGGGGTCATAGTGAATGATAAAGAATTTTTATTACATACTCCTATCCCTGCTCTCTTCTTCTACTCTTAGAAACCTGCAACTCGACCTAGTCCTTCTCCGGAAAGGAGCAGCGCAGGCCCAGACCCACCTGCTCCCACTCCGCTCCTTGCTGAGCAACATGGCGGCACCCCACAACCCAGTGCAACAACCCCTTTGAGTCAGGAGCCAGTGAATCCCCCAACTGAGGCTTCCCCCTCCCGGGGCCGTTCACCACCTAAGTCTCCTGAGAAACCTCCCCAGTCATCTTCGGAGAGCTGCCCACCATCCCCTCAACCTACCAAAGTTTCTCGGCATGCCAGCTCCTCCCCTGAAAGTCCTAAACCCACACCAGCTCCTGGGTCCCGCCGAGAGATTTCTTCTTCTCCCGCATCCAAGAGTCGCTCCCATGGCCGAGCAAAGCGGGATAAGTCACGTTCTCATACTCCTCGTAGGGTGGGGCGGTCTCGTAGTCCTGGCACTACCAAGAGGGGGCGATCCAGATCTCGAAGCCCTCCCAAGAGAGGGCATTCTCGGTCCCGGTCCCCTCAGTGGCGTAGGTCCCGGTCTGCACAAAGGTGGGGACGATCAAGGACCCCCCAGCGGCGTGGCCGCTCTAGGTCTCCCCAGCGACCAGGCTGGTCCAGGAGCAGAAATGCCCAGAGAAGAGGCAGGTCTAGGTCAGCAAGACGAGGCAGGTCACACTCTAGATCCCCAGCTACAAGAGGCAGGTCTCGCTCTAGAACACCAGCCAGGCGGGGCCGGTCTCGCTCTAGAACGCCAGCCAGGCGCAGGTCGCGGTCCAGAACACCCGCTAGGCGTAGGTCTCGCTCTAGAACGCCAGCCAGAAGG